TCTATCTATCTATCTATCTATTACAGATGAAACATTTATACAAACACACACACACACACACACACACATATATATATATATATATATATATATATATATAAGTAGATTGGTCCGCTTATCACATTGCTTCCCCCTCTTAAGAACAGGAATAGAGATTTATACATTGTTTCCTTTTTAGGATTTGACGTCCGGTTCCGTCTAAAGTCTTCTTGTTCTACTTCATTCTAAATAGCACCTTGCGTCTTCGTTGCATTATCACCTTGCTCGGGATGAAATCATTAAATATTTAGAGAATGTGAGAGAGAGAGAGAGAGAGAGACAGATACACATCTTATTTGAGCAAATAATATGTTATCATGTAAAAGTAAATATATGCTTTTTTTATCTCCTTTCACCAGCCCTTTCTCTCCCGGTCCATATATATATATATATATATATATATATATATATATATATATATATATATATATATATATATATATGACACGCATCAAGGCGCAGGTAATTCGGCTAGTACATATATAAGTTGGAAAATATACACTTTATGGAAATATTAAATTGGATATGATATCTGTTTATAAATATATGCGTTTTTCTCCTTTCACCAGCCCTTTCTCTCCCGGTCCATATATATATATATATATATATATATATATATATATATATATATATTCGATTGAAGATGGAAAAGAGCTTAGTACTTTAATTCAATTTAATTCAAATAATTATATTGATGTTTTCGGCTCTTGTTTTGAAACATGAGAACTCTTATGTAGCGTTGGAATCATATTTTTAAATAAATAATATATATATATATATATATATATATATATATATATATATATATATATATATGATACGCAGCAAGGCGCAGGTAATTCGGCTAGTACATATATAAGTTGGAAAATATACACTTTATAGAAATATTAAATTGGATATGATATCTGTTAATAAATTAGATAGATTTATCTTACCTCAGACGAGAGGATCAGTGTATGCGGGAAGATATTTTTAATCTATCCATCTATATATAATAATAATAATAATAATAATAATAATAGAGTGGGGGGCAATACTTACACTGGACAATGTGCAAACACTTTGGAAAATGTGTAAGCAAACACTGGTATGAACATCGGCCAGCGCCGGTTACAGAAATAGAAGATGTCACCATTCTTGGGATTATACCATCCACACAGACAGAAAAATTGAAGCAAATAGGCCGGACATTATTGTCAAAACCAGAAAAAAAAAAACTTGCCTACTAATTGATATGGCTTGTCCAGCGGATTGTAAATAGCAACCAAGGAATTTGAAAACTATCAAAATACAAAGACCTGGAAATTGAAATAGAAAAATGTGGAAATTGAAAACAAGAATAATACCAGTGGTAATAGGAGCACTTGGAATTATAAAAATGGAACAAAAACAACACATTGAAAGAATCCCTGGAAACCCCAGCTTAAGAGACATACAGAAAATTGTCTTATTAAGTACAGCACACACATAAGGAGAAAAATGTAACGCTAGCAACTTCATCGGAGATAAAAAAAAAAAAAAAAAAATTAACATGAAATGTGGCCATAACAACACACCACGACCTAGGTCTTTCCGCAGAAGTGTGTCCATAGCAGAAATCGAATGATGATGATAATAATAATAATAATAATAAAATACATTAAAATTAAATAATAATAAATTATTAACATTATAAAAAATTAATATAAGTGATTAGTTTCATATAATTAAATTAATTTATATAATAAATTATTATTATCAATTACTAATAAATTACAAAGAATAAATGGATGAACAAGGCGTTGCGTGGCAAATACCCCAAAAGAACGAACGAAGCAGATATGGGCGAACAGAAAACACATCAGTCCGTCGCAGTCAGGCCGTTCGCTGCCAGGTTCCCGAATGACTTGACGAATTCTCTGCCTGCAGAGAGGAACCCAGACGAGGCTATGCCGAAGTGCAGACTCTCGTTTGGCGATGTAGACAAATCCGACCCCGTGTACACGGGGTCTACGGGGTATTTTTGCCAAATCCTACGGGTTCGGAAACGCCCCATCATAAAAATCGGCCTTGTGCCACATCCTAAGCAGCAGGTATAAAGCTGAGTCGAAAGGCCTAATGATTACAGTTCAGGACCAAAGCCTCGCAACCAGGTCATATCGCTGTCACATAACCATTAATATAATAATATGTGAAAATCATGAGCATTTAACATTTATTTTCAGGTAAGCAGAATTTCTAGCCAAAATAGATAACGAGAATTCTAACATTCAATAAACCATTGGCTCAAAAGATACAAAGAAACAAAAGCTAACAACATTAAAAGAGAGAGAAAAAATAAAATAAAAGTGGATACACGAGCAGAAAATATTTGAAGAATCTGATGTCGCTTATGTAAACAAAGAGGAAATAAATCAGAAAATTAAGAACGTCGGCTAAATTGAAACGCGTAAGTTGGATGAAGAAGAACATGATAAGTGGTTCCTCGACAGCAATTGTTTTGGGGACGAATATGTCGGATGGAGCTGTTGTCATGGCAATGGTCAATAATAATGCTAACTTTATTATGATTTTCCAGATGACTTCAGATAAAAGGTTAGGAAGGTAACCGCCATCTATACTGGAAAGAGCGATAACAGCTACTGGACTTGAGAAACCTATTTTCCTGAAAAGGTTAGGAAGGTAGCCTCCATCTATACTGGAAAGAGCGATAACAGCTACTGGACTCAAGAAACCTATTTTCCTGAAAAGGTTAGGAAGGTAGTCTCCATCTATACTGGAAAGAGCGATAACAGCTACTGGACTTGAGAAACCCATTTTTTTGAATAGTTTAGGAAGGTAGCCTCCATCTATACTGGAAAGAGCGATAACAGCTACTGGACTTGAGAAACCCATTTTCCTGAATAGTTTAGGAAGGTAGCCTTCATCTATACTTGAACGAGCGATAACAGCTACTGGACTTGAGAAACCTATTTGCCTGAAAAGGTTAGGAAAGTAGCCTCCATCTATACTGGAAAGAGCGATAACAGTTACTGGATTTGAGAAACCTATTTTTCTGAAAAGGTTAGGAAGGTAGCCGCCATCTATACTGGAAAGAGCTACTGGACTTGAGAAACCTATTTTCCTGTTACCTTATTAAGAAACGGCTAAGTAGCATTATCGCCATCTACCGTCTCCCTGAAACCTGTTCTTTTATTGTCCTTTCTCCTCACTAAAGTCTTCTAATTCTCTTTCACTCCCAGTAATCACTTGCATCTTAGAGGCATTATCTCCATCTTCTGTCTTCCTGAAACCTATTCATTTTTTCTCACTTCTCTTCACTTATGTTTTATTTTTCTCCCTTGTAATCCCTTGCGTCTTAGTGGCATTATCGCCTTGCTTGATGGTGCAAAGTTTTTTTGCTAAAAATTAAATGTCAATCAACTTTAAAATTAGATTGAAAATTAATGAAAGAAAACAAACTAAGCAAGATAATGATTTGAAGGCGATTTATTTTGTTTCTGTTTTCGATTCTTTCTTTCTTTTTTCAGTTTGTTTAAACCACGGAAACGGTCTGAGTTTTTGGAAGCGTCGAGTCTTTATGAGAGCGAAATGAAAGAACCAAAAGGAAACTTACAACAAGCCGTCGACTCGATATCCAAACGTTGCCCTCTGAACCTTTGTGTTTTTGATGCTATCGGTATTATAGGTGAGAGTACTTTCATAAACATTACCGCTTTCGCTTCAGAAACAAATACATAGGCAGATAATGACAGGGTTGTGATTCAAACCATATTATATTTTTAATTTCGTGCAAGCGCCTTGTTTCTTTGAGATTTTGTCGACTGCATAGTATAGTTGGGTCAGTTGGGCACCGTCCGTGGAGAAAAGAGCACCATGACGTAATTCACTTCGCCAGAAATTTGTAAACGGCATTCTGTACTGCTTGGCATTCGCGCCGGAAGCTCCAGTACGAACATTTCAGATTGCTTGGCTGCCAATCTGAAGACAGTGCAGAGGATTCAGAAAGTGTTGGATGAGTCTAATGGCGATTATTATGATCGTTCTGATAAGAAAAGAACGCCTGAATTTGTTGGTGAGGTCCTCAGACACAACGTGGATCCCTACATCAAGTGCCCTGAGGAGGTAGTGCTGCTCTGGTTCTTGAGGGTGTCTACTGGAAGAACCCATGTCTGGTAACATGACTCCACACCATGCTATACAAGCAGTTGAACCCAGTCATGGCGTCAGATAATTTCTGCAGTAATATTCTCCCTACACATAACTCCCCAGACTGCAACCCCCTTGATTGGGGCGCAGTTGAGCGAGAGACCAACAAAACTCCTTGTAACACCAAAGATGAACTGAAGGCAAGAATTATGGCAGTATTCACGAACTTAAACAAGGAGATTATCCAGAAGAGTTGCAGGAGATTCCGAAGTCGTCTGGAGGCCGTGGTTGAAGCCAATGGCGATTTTATTGAATAAATTTTTTCTTTAGTATTTCAAGATATTTTGTGTAAATACATCTGTTAAAATGAAATATCGGTTTTATATTCATTTTTGCGTAATTTAGATGACAATTTATCCATCACACATATATATATATATATATATATATATATATATATATATATATATATATATTGACTAAATATATATATATATATATATATATAAAATATATATATATATATATATATATATATATATATATATATATATATATATGAATGAAGAAATATAATTTTAAGGTGTGCTATATTTATGAGATAAAGTGATCAATATCAGAGATAGAGCGTATGTAGATATAAAAGTAAACATTGAAGTCAACACTCAGAGGCGACAGGCTGTTACATGCTGGACGCAATCGTCAAGTGGCCTGTCGCCTCTGAATGTTGACTTCAATGTCTGTGACTTTTACGACAAACTAAAAAATTCCCAATCGTTTTAATATCTTCTTATTCTCTACGAATTTTGTTTCCTGTAGGTGACATTGAATTGATGCTTGGCTGGAACGTTTATTACAGCACTGTCACATGCACTGAAGACTGCCAGATTTTGCAGTTAGATACCGGTGACTGTTTCCACATCCTCCAGACACGCTCCAAACGGAAGATGAGCTACTTCCTCAGGCTGGCCCGCGACAAGGTGTCCGTGTTGCTCGAACGCTGGCCTGAACCTTGCCCAGTCCGCCTCTTGTCGATAGCGCAACGGGAACTGAACAGAATGCTGACGCCAACGCCAGAGGCCCGAACGGAAACCGGCGCGACGCGACGAAAGCAGTTCGTATCAGAGTCTGCTCCCCCGACAATGTTTCCCGTCCTGTCATTGACGTCGGCCGTGAACAAAGAGAAGATAGAAAAGCCGGAAGATTCCAGCGACCTCGACCTTTTGACCAACGAAATATTCTTACGGACATTTCGTTACAGCGTTTCCATGATGAAGGAGAAGAATAAAGATAAGAAACGGAAGAGAGAAACGATGTTTAGCCGCGCAAAGAATATGGGTAAAACGGTAAAATATTCTTTTATTCATACCAGCCTCTCTAATGTGCCGTGTCTCTTCTGGACGTTGGCTATCCACACCTTCCTATCCTTGTTTCTGTTTTCACTATCCTCCCGACTCATTGTAGCTCCTTAGGTAAATCACTCGAAATTTCCCTGTCTCTTTCGCCTTCTATATATCCTGCGAATGTCAAATTCTCCAAGTCTTCTTTCCTCATTATGTGTACCAGAATTTTAAAATGTCTCTTTCTGATTTCAAATACGTGTCCTTTTTTTCCCTATTTTCCTTAAAACTTGATCGATGTTTATATGTCCCGGAAAGGGATATATTTGATCGAAGTAGCTAAGTGGTTTCGGCTACTATAACCAAATAGTACCCGGTAGCAGTAATCGACTGGTACTCGTCGTAGTCGCAGGTAATAGGTGTAGACCAATAGCGTAGTCCAATGGGCGTCGTCATAGACTTAAACTCTGTCGTACCTACACGTCCGTCTGTATTTATGACGGACACCATCCAATCATATTCCAGTGAGGGGGAACACAGGTGTATGAATATTCCATTATATCAGTTTACAAACGTGGTCCATGGTATTCTCAGCATCCTTCTGTAGAATCAGAATTCCTTTGCCTCCAGTCTTCTAGACTTCTGCTGGGATGTCTACCATTCACTGGCCTATAGAGAGATTGATATTACATAGCAGTTCAGCACTCTTTTCTTTGTTTCTAATGATATTTTCTTGTTTCCACTTAACTTGCTTAGTTTTGGAAGGCATCTTTCGCTATTCAAATTTCACCTTTGGTTCCTGATGTCTCATTTACTACCATTTGTTATTACACTTCCCAGATATTTAAACTGCTGTCCTTGTTTGATTCTGACATTTCAAATTCGTAGTTTGCATCTTGGGCTGTTTCTCTTGCTGATAACAATAACTGCTTTTTTTTGCAATTGATAGTCCTTTCTTCTTGCCTTCTTTTACTGCCTTGCTTAGGAGGTCCCGTATTTTTTCCCAGTATCTGCCATCAATACGGCGTATATTATATTAAAAATCTATCTCTAACAAGGTCAAGATACGTTTCAATCATTGCAATTTTTAATCATCTCCACTCTATGTCAGGTTTTATCTTTAATATTGGATCTGGCCTACTGGCCAGGACTGGGCAATCCATTTGAACCTCAAAGTTCGTTAGGGGTTTTATGTATTTCATTCTGTAAGATATATTCTACTGCGTATATACCATTGTTCTTTGTGGTCAAAATTAGTCGCTTGCATAATTCACAGTGAATCGCCTTTCCTACTCAGTCATATATACTCTTGTATTTTTATGAATAATTTGTTATATACACTGATTATGTGGGGCACCTCGAAGCGGTGTAATGGTTAGCAAGCTTGTCTCGCTAGAACAATTACGACTGAGTAGTGAGTTCGATCCTCACTGGGTGGCCCTACTTTCGGCCTTGTGCCACATCTAAGCTACGCTTGGAAAATCACGACACTGATTATGTGGTTAACAATTAACACCTTTATTTCCAGATTGACTAAACACAGAAAACTATACGATTGTTATATACGAATAAAATGTCGTTGCTGACACTTGAGTTTGAACATACATCGCCAGTGAGCAAACACAGGCGATCCCATAATTGAATTAAATAGATCACGTGACCATAGAGGAAACGCATAAGCAGAAGTTGCATGACGTCTAAACGATCTGCTAATCTACTTTATCCTCTATTATTGTACGGATCACCATTTCTATTCTATCCTCTATTACTATTCGAATCACCATTTCTATTCTATCCTCTATTACTATTCGAATCACCATTTCTATTCTATCCTCTATTACTATTCGGATCGCTATTTCTAATCTATCCAATATTACTATACGGATCACAATTTCTATTCTATCCTCTATTACTTTACGGATCACTATACGGATTACTATTCGAGCCAGTATTATACTTCAAATATACAAAACGACCATTCGCCCTTGCAGGGAGTATTGTTGCCATATATGGGCTGGAGCACCTTCTGCTTACCTCGGAGTTCTTGACAAGATCCAGGGACGGATATGTAATCTAATTGGCCCTGATCTAGCGTCTTGTCTGCAGTCACTCTCTCAAAGACGCGCCGTCGCCTCTCTCTGTCTTTTCTACAAATACTTCCATGGTAACTGCTCTGATGAGCTGCTCTCTCTGGTTCCCAGACTCCATGAATTCAAGCGCCCTACGAGGCTGGCATCCCGCTCTCACCCTTACACCGTAGAAACCTTCAAATGTAGCCCTCTCTTCTACTCCAATAGCTTCATACCTCGCACCTCTCGCCAGTGGAACACCCTCCCCAATTACTGTTTCCCTGAAAGCTATAATCTCCAACTATTCAAATGTAATGTCAATTGACATCTCCAGTTCCCTTGATCTACCCACTATCCTTCTCCTCTTCCTTTCTCCTATCACTCTTATCTGCTCTCGCTGCAAATCTTCCGCAACCCCCTGCATCCTAGTGGCTTCACGCCTTGCTTGGGGTACAATGCTTAAAAAAAAAAAAAAGTACTATTAGTGCGAGTGTTAATCGAAGGCGTCTGGCACCAGTATTGTTCAACGGCGTTACTATAGTTGTATCTGCGATTATAAAGTCTCTACCTCCACGAGCATTACGAAAGTGACAACGAGTATTCACTGGTATCACAAGGTGATAACGAGTGTTTGTTGACATCATAAAAACGATATATTCTAGAAAAAGTCTATTATTGTTATTATACTGAGAGTGAATTTGAAATATATGAACCCTCATTCATATATATATATATATACGCCTCATGGCACCCAATCTTTTAAGTGTATGCCGAGGATACGCCTCACAGCTAAATCTGTGTGATATGGTGACAAGGTTTAATACAAACAGCACAAGTTGAATAACATAGTTTACTCAAGGGATTGGGTGCCTTCCCAAGAATCTAAATCTAGCTCTCCAGTCACCTTGGTTAGCTCATCTTTCAAACTTTAAAATAAAATGTTATCGACACCCTGCCATGATACCGTTCACTACTCTCGCAGAACAGAGATGCACAATACGTCATCCCTTGGGTGCATGCTGAACTGACAAGCAAATCTATGGTATCGTACGTGATATTTCTTTTTTTTATGTACCGTCAGGGCGTAGGCAATCATGGCCCTCCACATCTTCTTGTCACTTGTAGGTCTTAATATGTTTTGTCTTTGGGTTATCTCTCCCAAACCCAGTTCGGCCATCCATTTACTCAACGTAATTCTAATTCTTCTATGTGCCATGTCCCTTTGGCGATTACGGCTCTCCACAATTTCCTGTCCTTTGCATATCTTAAAAAAAATTGTATTTTTGTTAACCCCGTCTAAACACATTTACTTAACCTAGTTCTTCATCTTTTATGTGCCGTGTCCCTTCAGGACGTTGGCAATCACGGCTCTCCACAATTTTCTGTCGTTTGTAGGTCTTAATCAATTATGTCTTTTTGTTATCTCGTCTAAGCACTGTTCCGCCATTCATTTACTCAGCCTCGTTCTATTTCTTCTATGTGCCGTGTCCCTTCAGGACGTTGGCGATCATGACTCTTTACAATACCCCTCCCGGTGTAGTACTTAATAAATTTTGACTTTTCGTTATCTCTCCACCCAAAGCTATAGGACTCACTCTGTCGTGCTATTTCAGCTGGGGCTAGAAGCAATGAAGTCTTACCTTTCCCACGTGAATGAATGTAACGAATTTGACTGTGGTCTCGAGTGTGGATAACTGACGAGACTAACTGCCATTGAATCAATCATCTTGGGGGGGAGGGGAGAGAGGTGGCTGAACCATAGACTTGCCGCCTATTTCAGACATCTCCAATCTGGTATCCACAACGAAAAAGTAACTGCTTTAGTCGCGCGAGACTTGCAAATATGGAGCACCCTCCTGAATTCTCGTTCGCACTGAAAAGCCATGATGCCCTCTACTACTCCCACTCATGTACAAAGATGCAAAAGTGTCATACCCTGGACGCGGGGGTGGGGGGCGTGCCGAAATGGCTACGTTCAGGCAAATGGCAAGCAAATCTGTGGCACTGAAGAAGATATTTAGTCCATCTTAATTTATCAACACAAAATGCATGATAACATCCCCAATCAATTAAGTTCAGAAGACACGGCTCGGAAGGTGGAATCGAAGTGTCGAGTTCGAATTCCAGTCGAGTTGATTGCATTCGCCTATATGCTTATATCCTTGTGAAAAGATATGAATCCATCTCTTCATCTCAGTATGCATAAACAGCAGGACAGATTGGGCCCTATAGCCTTGGTTGGTAACCAGTCTAAGAGAAGGAAAACTCTGAATTCAAGCCAATCTTGAGAAATTAAACTATTTGCTTCGTTTCGGCTAGAAGAAAGTAACTTAAATAAAAAAAGAACTCCGCCTTGCATGTCGTCTCAAAGAAACTGCTACCCCTGCTTCGAGTCGCGACAGAAAATGATAGACTTCCCGGGCTTAGTACGATGGTTCGATAAACACAAGACTGAGACACGGCGTCGTGAATATCTCTGATTTCGAACCACTCACCCATGTGGGTATCACTCACGGTACTTTAGACGACGACGACGACTATATTTGTCAAATTGAATCCATTGCTAGATCAGCTGCTAAGAAAGTTAGTTCATTGTTTCGTAAAGAGGGGAGACCTGCTTTCCAACCATGGCTATAGGGCCCAGTCTGTCTTACTATTTTATCTATATCTGGAGGGGGAGGATTCATACATTTCCCAAGGATATTAGCACGTAAGTGACTGTAATGAACTCGACTGAAATTCGAACTCGGCTCTCCGATTCCTCAGTCCGACTCGCTAACCGATCCTCCCTGTCTATTGGTTTTGCAACGGGAATGTTGAGGTTATCTCGTCCCCTTGTTTTTGAAGTCACCTTCTCGCCTTTGCCTAAATAGGCAGGACCTACAAGGTGGCTTGAATTCAGACTTTCTTTCTCCTAGACTGGTTTCCAACTATAGCTATAGCGTCAAGTCTGTCCTGCTCTTTTATCCATAGCTGAAATGAGAATAGATGGACTCATATATTTCCCAAGGCCATTAGCACGTTAGGGAATGTAATGAACTCGATTGAAATTCGAACTCGACTCTCCAATTCCCCAGTCCAAGTCGCTAACCGATCCTCAGTATTTGTTGATTAAATTAAAAAAAAGCTGTATATATTATAATACTTTAAATACCTATTACTATGATTATTTTTGTTTTCTTTCTTTTTTCTTTTAGCCGATAATAGCGTCAAAAGGATTGAAGAAGTTAGCGAAACGCGAAACCATGTCTCTTAACGAAAGTCAGCAGAGAGAACTAACCATATTAGAAGCCCGAATATTGGCGTGGTACAATGAAATGGAAGAAGAGATGAACATTCCTGCCGACAAATGTGTACCCAAATTGCACATCGCGGAAGCTTTTGTAAGTTAACTCTAACATATGTCCTCCTTCACAGGATTAACTGATAACCAGCTAATAAAATCAGTTACATTCTTCCAAGCAAAGCCTAAGAAAAAGCACAAGAATTAAGGTCTATATAACCATCGTGCTGCTCTCTCTCCTATATGGTACCGAATCTTGGGTCGTATATCAACAGCAACAGTGTCTCCTCAAAATCTTCAACCAATGCTGATTCCGTGCCATTCTCAACGTGCGCTGGAGCGCGTTCATCATAAACACTGAAGTCCTCAAGAGAGGTCGTACTGTGTGGATGAAGACCGACGAACCGGCCACCGAATAACAAAATTAAGTCGGGGTAACGTAAGAAAAAGAGCTTCGTTAAAAATGGACCCATGTCTCCTGCGGTACCGACTGTGGATAACACACACGACTGACAGGCCATTGAACGGGGGTGGAGGAGAGGTGGCTGAACCATAGACTGCCCGCCCCTTTCAGCTATCCCCCTTCTAGCATCCACAGCAAAAAAAAAAAAAAATACTATACTCGCGCGAGTCTTTCAAATCACGGATGAACCTGCGGCAAATATGAGCCCCCCTCCTGAATTCTCGTTTGCATTATATATATATATATATATATATATATATATATATATATATATATATATATATATATATATATGCATGTAGATGTAGACACGAGGTGTACTGAAGTTCCTCGGCTCGACCAATTAGTACTTCCTCGCAAATAGTCCCTTATATATATATATATATATATATATATATATATATATATGTATATATATATATATATATATATATATATAAATATATATAATCCTTAGTAGTTATTTCAATAAATCAAAGAATAACAATAAATCATTGTCGATAATATTGAGAAGTTTCATGAACTTTTTTTTGTGTTGAAATGTTAAAATGTATAAATAGATAAAATATTCTGTTTTGTAACAGTTTTTTTTAAAAACAAAAGAAAAGGTTATTGGTTTTTGCTTATCTTTCTGAGATGAGGTTTTGAGAAACGTGGAACCACATCTTAATTACTGTTGTTCCCAGGTCCACCTCGACCCGGGGTGGTAGCCCCTGCTAGGATCCCAGCTATGGGCAAATAATTACCCCCCCCCATTAAACAAAATTAAAACACTATGAAAGTATAAAAATACATTTTTTTAGTAAAGCTACCAGAAATACATTTTATATGAAAAAATCACCAACAATACATATTTCTAGTAAAATTACCAATAACACCTATTACTAATAAAATTACTAACAATATCTATGAAAACACGGTGGAGTAATGGATATTGGATTGGGGAATCGGAGTGACGAGTTCGAATTCCAGTCGGATCCATTACATTAATTTACTTCTTCTCCCTCCAGCTATGGGTAAATAGCAGGACAGACTGGGTTCTATAGCCTTGGATGGCAACCCGTCTAGGAGAATGTAACTGTATGTTGCCCTGGAGTAACACAAACTATACAGCTAAAAAGACAGTTTGTCGCTTATTTCAGCCTCGTTCTGGCAGCTCCTTCAACGGCTCTTTCACCAAACTGTAATGGCCCTGCACTTCCTTTGGATGCATCAGCGACATAGAGAGGGGGACATGTTGCATGGGAAACGGGTTTTCCACCACACCCTCCTGCCCAGGCTTGATCTGACATATGGGTGAGAACAAATCTATGGTCATTGATGACCAGCGGAGGCTTATATACCTATTTTTAGTAAAATGACCAACAATACATTTTTTTATAGAATTACTAACAATACTGTGGAGTAATGGATAGCGACTGGGATTAAGGAATCAGAGAGCCGAGTTCGAATTCCAGTCGAAACAATTACATTCACTTACGCGCTAATACCCTTGGAAAAGGTATGAATCCTCTTCTCCTCCCCACAGTTATGGATAAATAGTAGGGCAGACTGGATTCTATAGCCTGTGATGACAACTAGTTAACTGCAGAGAGAAATGGCAACATACTGCGGGGGAAAAATCTGCCTCATCAGTCATATATCGAAAGATACATTATCGTCAAAGCGTGTGTTGTAGAGTAGTTTCACAGTGGAGGCTTGTATTTCACTAAGTCGGTCCTAAAATAGGTTCGACGTACAAAACGTTAGGAACATGATATAATAGGTAATGACACAGAAAAATCTAGTGGTGGTCGCTGATACTTTTAGTATCCGACTAACGGTCGCCCGACAGCGTCAGACTGACCAGCTCACTGAGAGTATTTAGTCACCCCCCCCCCTTAGGAGGGCATCATGTTGCACAAGGCCGGTTTTAACGTGTGATCTCCGAGCCCGTGGGATCGGCCAAAAATATGCCCATTGAACCCGTATAAACGGGTTCAAGGTCGGTTTACCTCCCCGAAAGAGAATCTGCCCTTCGGCGTAGCCTCGTTCGGGTTCCTCCCCGCCCGAAGGCAGAGAGTTCAACCGGTCAGCCAGTCGTCCGACTTCAGACTGAAATCAGACCGACCCACTGAGCGATATTCAGCCCCCCCCCATGAGGGCATCATGTGGCACAAGGCCGGTTTAACGTGGAATCTCCGAGCCCGTGGGCTCTGCCAAAAATATGCCCTTTTAAAACCCGTATAAACGGGTTCAGGGTCGGTTTACCTCCCCGAAAGAGACTCCGCCCTTCGGCGTAGCCTCGTTCGGGTTCCTTCCCGCCCGAAAGCAGAGAGTTCAACCGGTCAGCTAGTCGTCCGACTTCAGACTGAAATCAGACTAACTCACTGAGCGACTTAGCGATTGTTACTACCCCTACTTATTATAGGTAGGAGAGTCTATTAACAATAGAATAGGTGTGTTCCACTTTAACACTGTGTATTATGCATGGCACATAACTGACTGACTCTTGGGAAAGGTATGAATCCTCTTCTTCTTCCACCCCTCCCAGCTATGGATAAATAGCAGGACAGGCCGGATTCTATAGCCTGGGATGACAACTGGTCTACCGCAGAAAGAAATGGCAAAAAACCGCTGGGAAAAATCTGGTCAGTCATGTATCGAAAAATACATGATCGCCTAACTATCTGTAGTTAAAGGCATACAGTTGCGTTCAAAATAAATCTAGTTGAAGCCATAAAATTGCGTTCAAAATATTTAGATTTCGGCACTAAATAACCCATAGAGATGTTGATATGCCGCTAAACATATTCAACTAAACCAAATTGTACTGACTAACGTATCATCCTAACTCTTACTCAGCTATATCATGACAAATAATAAACAATGGGTTACGCCCGACAAGGTTTAACGCAAAATGCAATGAACGGACAAAGATAAGTTTCGACAACGACCCTAAAACACAATCAGGTAGTGAGATCATTTATATATTATCCATTTAGAATTCTTAAAAGAGATCGAAACACTACACCCTTCTGCAAATTAGTTTCGTTTCTTTCAACACACGGTCAGATTTAGAAGCATTGGAGTTACAGAGTATAATTCTAGTTTTTCCTTGGATTACGTCATTTCCGGTGGTGTGCAGTAATATGAATCTATTTTCGGGGTATGTGATGAAATTTGTTTAGCCTTGAAAAATATCGCCACAGCCGTGTTTGCATTAGATTTATATCACGCCCAAACAATATTGTCTCGACTAACGATTAGTTGTCCTACGGCCATTGTCTGATTGATGATACCTTGTTGCCAATCTGGGATTGCGCTTAAATTCATAAAGTCTAGGTACCAGAGCGAAGAGCTCGTCTGAACAATTACGATGAAAGTATTTATAGAAAAGGTACAGGGAAGCTTTGTTAGGACAGTGAGAAAGTAACAAGCCGAGACACCAGGTCAGGGCCAATAACATTGCTGATTCTTCCAGAGAACTCTAGATAAATAACAGGAACACCAGACTAGGCCAGACCAGATGTGACAGCAATATTCAATGAAAAGACAAATACCAGCCTTACAATGAGTGTTCTCCAAGCGAGATGTGCGAGAGAAGAATCTGTTATTTACGGTTACATCTCGCCGGATACAATTTGGAACAGTATGGATATTGCTGTACTTGTAGCTTTGGCAATGGATTTTTCCGTTTGGATTTTAAAGACAGTTTTAATCACCATTCCAGTTTTGTTTCCTTTTTTAACGAAATGCACCTGATAAAATCTGAGATGAGGTATTGTAATTATTTACATTGTTCGGACTGTTGTCCTCATATTCGCGACGTTTCGGCAGTTGGACGCCCCGGCCTTCTTCAAGATCGTTTATACTTCTGAGATGTTGTAATTATTTACACTATTTACATTGTTCGGACTGTGGTCTCCATCTTTATTGTCATATTCACGACGTTTCGGCCGTGGTACGATTCGGCCTTCTTCGTCCATATTTCTCAGATGAGGTATTGTAATTATTTGCATTATTTACATTGTTCGCACTGTTGTCCTCATCTTTGTTGTCCTGTTCATGACGTTTCGGTCGTTTTACGCTCTGGACTTCTTCAGGATCTGTCTATATTTCGGAGATGAGGTATTTTAATTCTTTACATTGTTCGGACCGTTGTCCTCATTTTTATTGTCATATTCACGATGATTCGGTCGTTGTATGCCCCGGCCTTCTTCAGGATCAATCTATATTTCTGAAATGACGTATTGTAATTATTTACATTATTTACATTGTTCGAACTGTTGGACTCATCTTCATTGCCATATTCACGACGTTCTATACAGTGTAAAGAAAGGGATCGTCGGCTGCTTAAAACATCGAACAAAAGTCATAAGTGGCGACCCAGACACATATGATCAAGAAATGTATAAGTAGTATCGTACAACGTAACAACTACTCTGGGTACATGACAGCAGCACCGACAAGCTGGGATAGAAGGGTTAGAAGGGAACAAGAGGATAACAAGACTCAGGGAACAGCTTCGGTCTGCTTACCCTCTTGGAAGGGATTATCGGAGAAAATACAAAAGATTTGTGGTCCATATAACATCAGGACGATCTTCAAAAGTTGTTCGAAACTGCGTAGACACCTCTTCCGAATAAGATCCCTCATAAAGGAGAATATGACTAAGGACTGTATGTACGCAATCCCGTGCAGCTGCGGTAAGAAATACAAAGTATAAGCAGGCCGCCCCATTAAGGTAAGACTACAAGAATATTGTAAAGCCGTAATACGAGAAGAAATAAAAAAAAATCATGCGTAGTTGACCTCATATGTAGGCAGATCACCGGCCCCTGTGGGATCAGGCGTAGTTGACCTCATATGTAGCGAAAAGGCAGATCACCGGCCCCTGTGGGATCAGGCGTAGTTGACCTCATATGTAGCGAAAAGGCAGATCACCGGCCCCTGTGGGATAAGGTTGAAATAGTAGACGGAGAATATCACTGGAAAATACGAAAACTTATGCTAGGCCACAAAAATCTCCTAAACCAGCCAAGCATAGAAATTAATACATGGGGACAAGTAATATGGAGTGCTAGAGAAAAGCAATAATAACAGCAAAATTGCAATATGAGCTGTGGTTAAAACGGTTACTGAGCAATTAAGTTTATAAGTCCCAAAAATTCATATAATGGTGTCCCCAAGGACACATGGCACAGTCTTGGTTGGATCCAGTGAAGAGTTGTGAGTTCAATCCCTGGCTAATGCAGTGGTGAACAAAAACTTGGAGAGTTGCGTTAAAGGGAGATAACAGAGACATCCGGAAGAGGCATGGCATGTGGAATGAGTACAGGCTGGTCGACAAAATAAAGGGTTCAGTTCAAAATTCCAATCATCTGAAGAAGGCTGGAGCGTACAACAGCCGAAACGTAGTGAATACGGCAATAAAGATGAGGACAACAGTCTGAAAAATGTAAATACACCTGATAAATTTTTGAGAATTGATCAAGTGAAACATTATGCTAACAACAGTAAGAATAAGGTGTTCAATTGGAATATATCAGGGGTGATATAAGAACCTTTCAAAGGATTAATTTATATTAAGGTCATTCATATTTGGGTTGAGTCATAATTAATTTCCGTATTTTTTTTTTTTTTTTTTTTTTTAGTTTATCAATGAGCCTCTTTGATCTTTTCATTGAGAGCCTATGGAACACAAACACTTCTGACTTTGCCTGTCTTTTCCAAGTGCCGGCATGTGGTAGATTGCGATGTGTTTAACATCTTTGCTGATTACTTTGCCGTGGTACTCATTCTACCATTGACTTTAGATTCTCATCATCAAAATCCAATTTACTCCCAGATCTGAGTTCATCTTCCAACGACGTTTTGGGCATTTCTACGTTTTGTCATGGTTCGCAATCATGTCTCGCTAGATCAACTGAGTAGTCAGTTCGATCCTCACTGGGTGCCCCATGTTTTCCGCCTTATGTCACATCTAAGCTACGTTTTGATAATCATAGGCACTTTGGCGTGGTATAATAGTTAGCAACCTTGTTTAGCTAGATCAATTACTAGTGAATAGTGAGTTCAGTCCTCACTGGGTGACCCACTTTTTCGGCCTTGTGCCAGATCTAAGCTACGCTTAAAAATCATCAGGACGCTTTGGCGTGGTGTAATGACAAGCAAGCTTGTCTAGCTAGATCAATTATGACTGAATAGTGAGTTCGATTCTCACTGGGTGCCCCACGCTTTCGGCCTTGTGCCAGATCTTAACTACGATTAAAAAATCATCATGTCGCTTCGGTGTGGTGTAATAATTAGCTAGCCTGTCTAGCTGGATCAATTACGACTGAATAGTGAGTTCGATCCTCACTGGGTGCCCTACGCTTTCGGCCTTGTGCCACGTCTAAGCTACGTTTTGAAAATCATAGACACCTTGACATGGTATAATTGTTAGTAAGAAACTATTTATAGAAACGGCGCGGGTAAGCTACATTGCGACTCTGGAAAACGGACTGAAGCCCAGATGCTAGGACAGGACGAAATTTCCTCGCTACAGCCTTAATATATATATATATATATATATATATATATATATATATATATATATATATATGATGCGATTGGAAAACTTTCGCCATTTTTTATTTTTTATTTCGCTCATGCGCATTGTTTGTTTTTTATTTGGCCGACTGCACCATATTTGGGCACCGTCTGTGAGAAAAAGAGCACCATGACACAATTCACTCCACCAGAAATTTTGAAACGAATGCTGTACTGCTTGGCATTCGCACCGGAAACTCTAATGCATATTTTTCAGAGTGTTTGAGTGCCACCCTGAGGACAGTGCAGAAGATTCGGATAGAGTGTTTATAAGTAATCACTAGTGATGGCGACGATATGCCGCCATTCTTCTTCCCACAGGGCCTCACACTCAACACGGAGGCCTACATGAAGTGCCTTGAGGAGGTAGTGCTGCCCTGACTCAAGAGGGTGGCTGCTGAAAAACACTGTATCAGGCAGCAGAATTCTACACCATGCCACACAAGCAGGAGAACCCAGTTATGCCTGTCAGACAAATTCTGCGACCAGATCAGCCCTTCCACCTGGCCACTTAACTCCCCAGTCTGCAACTTCCGTGATTATTATTCGTGGGGCGCAATTTGAGAGACCAACAAATCTCCTTGTAACACCAAACATAAACTGAAAGCAAGAATTATGGCAGCATACACCAACTTAAACAAGGAGACCGTCCAGAATAGTTGCAGGAGATTCCGAAGTCGTCTGGAGGCCGTGGTTGAAGCCAATGGTTATTTAATTGAATAAATTTACTCTTTAGTGTTTCAAGATATTTTTGTGTAATTTTGTTAAATATATCTGTTAAAATGAGATGTCAGTGTTATTTTCATTTTTGCGTAATTTAGACGACCACATATATATATATATAAAATAAAATGGACAAATCCGACAATTATTTTAAGATATTTTTATGTTTTTCTTTTTATAGATACAAATATTTGTAAATGCTCTGTTTATAATAAACAGTATTAACGACATTTACCGACATGAATGTAAGAGAAATTTTCATAGAAAATATGCGTTCCCCGACAGGAATCGAACCTGTATCCTATACTGAAAACCTCATATAGCCTGACCTGCTTTTATCGAGCCACAGAGGAGCGTTTCGGTTAGCAAGGTCGATTTTATTGTTTTTAAACTACAATTCTCCATGATTTTCTCTCGTACATTCATATCTGCTCGATGCGTATCCCGATGTAAACAAATGACGTCACACATTATGAAATTTACAAAGTCCGACAATTATTTTAAGACATGTTTCATGTTTATCTATAAAAAGAACGTATAAACATAAAGAAATTATTTCTGAAAACTAATCCATTCGTAATCCATCATACCTGACTATAAAAATATTAAAAAATTAAATGAAAATTCATAACTCCCGGTTATTTTATTGTTTTTGAAAAAATTAATATTTTAGACTTTTTTTAGAGACACTTGATACAAAATAAAATCCTCACATATGCCTTGATAATGTCCATCAGAGGACGAAATGCGTCGGCTAAGATAAGTTTTATTTTTGTAATTATTCATATTGTCCTTTTAAAGATATACCGTAATTCCCCATGTATAATACGCATTATTTCTAAAAAGTAATTAGCAAAATGAGGGGTGCGTATTATGCACAGTTACAAAAAAATCTTTAAAAAAATTGTCGTAAAAGAAAATAACAATTATCATAAAACTAAATTCGAATAATATTATTCAATGTTTTTTTTTTTTTTTGCTAAAAGTAGGAATCATATTCATTGCCATATTCACAACAAAGAGTTGTGAGTTCAATACCAGGCCACAGAAGTGGTAAACAAAACTTGGGGAGTTGAGTTAAAGGGTAATAACTGAGACATCCGGAAGAAGCATGTCACGTGGAACTAGAAACATTTACTCCGGTGGGCGAAATAAAGGGTTCGGTTCGAAATTCCAGTCACCCGAAGAAGGCCGGAGCATACAATGGCCGAAACGTTGTGAATATGGCAATGAAGATGAGGATAACAGTACGAATAATGTAAATAAAGGCGTACAACGGCCGAAACGTTGTGAATATGGCAATGAAGACGGGGATAACAAATAATGTAAATAATGCAAGTAATTATAATATATCCTCTCAGAGATCCAATCCCCTGAAGAAGGACGGAGCGTACAATGGCCGAAACCTCATCTCAAAGATATAGACAGAAATTATTGTCATGATAACATAAGTGTAGTCGCACAATTTCATCTCCTTTTTATTCGCCTCGTACCTAACTAGCAAATACGCGTACTTCATGGATTTTCATTATCGGATATTTTCTTTCATTTCCAGACGACCGCCGACGTTTGTCGCTTACTGGACGTAAGTAAATTAAATAGTTATATTATATATATTAGACTTGGTAATATTACTGTAATGAATAGCGGCTCGGATTGAGGAATCGGTCAGCCGAGTTCGAATTCCAGTCGGATCCATTACATTCACTTACATGCTAATACCCTTGGGAAAGGTATGAATTCTCTTCTTCTCTTCCCAGCTATGGGTAACTAGCAGGACAGGCTGGGTTCTATAGCCTTGAGTGGTAATCGGTCTAGGAGAAGGACAACTCTGAATTCAAATCCGGTCTGGAGAGAGTTGGTGTCAGTCAGGCTATCTTAACCAAGAGACATCACTTCTACTGTGCTTGTACTACACATGGGGCCCCTACGAACCTCCGGGTCACGGGATAACAAAATATTAACGCGGATGCATAGGCGTGTGGTTAAAGAGCCGAGTTTGATAGGTCATTAATACTGATTAGTGATTTCTATTCACACTGGGTGCCCTGTACAAAAAAAGCGACGAAACGTAATAAGCTCTCACTTTTTCACATATGCGTTTTGCTACCGCCGTACGTTTGGCTTCGACGCGCATGCGCCCTTTGCGTGGTTTGGTTTTGAGGTGCGTGCGTCCTTTGTGTAGTTTGGATTTAAGGTGCATGCGTCCTTTGCGTGGTTTGGCTGTGAGGTGCGTGCGTCCTTTGCGTAGTTTGGATTTAAGGTGCATGCGTCGTTTGCGTCGTTTGGCTGTGAGGTGCATGCGTCCTTTGCCTGGTTTGGCTTTGAGGTGCATGCGTCCTTTGCGTGGTTTGGCTTTGAGGTGCATGCGTCCTTTGCCTGGTTTGGCTTTGAGGTGCATGCGTCCTTTGCGTGGTTTGGCTTTGAGGGGCATGCGACCATTGCGTGGTTTGGCTTTGAGATGCATAATTCATTTGCGTAGTTTGGCTTTGATGTGCATACGTCGTTTGCGTGGTTTGGCTTTGAGGTGCATGCGACCATTGCGTGGTTTGGCTTTGAGGTGCGTGCATCCTTTGTGTAGTTTGGATTTAAGGTGCATGTGTTCTTTGCGTAATTTGGCTGTGAGGTGCAAGCGACCTTTGCGTAGTAGGCATTGAGGTGCATGAATCCTTTTGCGTTGTTTGGATTTTAGGTGCATGAGGCCTTATCGTTGTTTGATTTTTGAGGTACATGGGTCCTTTGCGTATATTGGCTTTGAGGTGCATGCGTCCTTTGGGTGGTTTGGCTTTGAGGTGCATGCGTCCTCCGCATAGTTTGTCTTTGAGGTACAAGAATCCTTTGCGTGATTTGCGTTTGATGTGCATGCGTCTTTTGCGTAGTTTGGCTTTGAGTCGCATGCGTCCTTTGCGTATGCGTCTTCTTCCCGTAAAGACTTTCGTAAGTTTATTTTTTTGTATTTCAAAATAATTATATATATTTATCAGTTTCATTTCTTTTTCTTGCGTTATAGAATTGTTTTTTTTTTGTTTTTTTTTTCTAAAAACAAAAAATCTATGACACACACAAATGTCCCGTATATTACTGGTTTAATGAATTTAATTTTATTTGAAAAACCGTGTGTGAAACCAAAATTGTCCAATTTATGTAGCAGCAAAATTTGCCCAATTGTTAGACTAATCTCTGAACCGTTTTATCTTAGAAATGATTAAAAATATCTTACTGGATTTCTTCGAGAATTTTATAACGCTATTGGACTTTACTTTGTGAAATAAGAATGTGTAATTACTCTCCAGACTTCACAAAAGAATCGTGATGTAATCAATCATAAACGAAAATGTTCATCATTAATTAATCATAGCTAAGTATCGGAAGCTCATGATGGATTGAAATAAAGTTCATATATATATATATATATATATATATATATATATATATATATGTGTGTGTGTGTGTGTGTGTGTGCGTGTGTGTGTGTGTGTGTAAGCAAATATACGGATATAGATCCGACAGTATGAAGAAAAATATACGGAAAAAACAAACAAAAATCCTTAAATGCAATTATGCTGTTTTAATGTTAATATAATGTCAACGTCGGACGTTTCGGTCTAATAAACCATCTTCAGGACATATTCATAAAATATAATTAACATTATCAATTCAACATGACAAAGACGATGGACATAAGAACAAGACTTATCTAAACAGTTCAGTTATCTGTTTGGATAAGTCTTGTATATTTTTCTTCATATATATATATATATATATATATATATATATATATATTTCAGGATCATTTTCCAGCTTATTGAAGATTCGCCCTCTCTATTATTCTAAGTTTCTGTTCTGAAGTAACAAGTTGCGTCACATATTTCACGTACAATTTCATTTACGAGTCTTTTTTTTTTTTTATTGCTCTTTGGAGTTTTATAGGTCAAACGCCTCTCTCACGTACCAAACGTCTTAAGGATTGAGTTGGATCTTTTCTAATTGATCTCTTTAAATTGAAATGATGATCCCTCTTCTTGTTGGGACCTTCTGATCCAGTTTTCCTCTTTTTTAAACTTATTTAGCGTTCTCTTGATGATTCCAGAGTATGAATGTTGATGGCCCGAATGATCATTTTCCTCTCACCATTGATTAGTTGAGAAGAAAATGGGGCTGACACACAAACGATTTTAACCTGTTCTCTTTCTGGCTGAATAACTCAGAGGGTTTTTCAGTGATTCTGGCAAAAAGAAACTGAATTAGTTTAGTGTTTTTTTAATATATGGACAATTATTCTTTAACACTATTTGGACAATTTTGATGTTGCACCCTGTATATATAAAGACATATATATATATATATATATGTGTGTGTGTGTGTGTGTGTGTGTGGGTGGGTGTGTGTATGTGTGTGTGGGGGGTGTGCGTAGGGAGAAAGAAAGAGTAATTTCTACATCTATCTCTAACCAAAATATTCGATGACAGTACCTAAAGCTTCAAAGGGAATGGATTAATAAATTTTATTCTAAGACATAATTAAATTTAGATTTACGGCCACATCACGTTGAAACACCGGTTCTCGATCACCGAAGTTAAGCAACAGCGAGACTGGTCAGTACTTCTATGGATGACCGCTTGGCAAATACCAGGTGCTGTAAGTTTCGATGTGTAGGTGGTGTAATGAAATTGTTAATTGAAGTGCCGAGTTCCAATTCCTGTTGGGTTTGCTATATTCACTTACGCGCAAATACCCTTGAGAAAGGTAAGAATCCACCTCGTCTTCCTCCAGCTGTGGGTTAATTAGTAAGATTTGTATCGCTAAAACTATTATTATCTCATAATAAATAAATGATAAATTGCATATAAAGTATTTCAGCATTAAATAAATCACAGAGGTTGACATGGCGCTAAAACAAAATCAACCCCAAAAATCAATGTTATCTATTGGTTCATTCATTTTAATCAGTTAGCGCATTTTGCACCGCCGCTGTGGTTACCACTCCCCGCTATCTCACAATTGTGTTTCATGGTGACATTCAAAGCAAAATAGTGCAAATAGATAAGGATGTTTATTATATTCACATTATAATTTCTTGTTTGTTTACTAAATTCTGATTAGTTATGAATCCACCTCTTCTGCTCCCAACTATGGGTTAATTAGTCAGACTTTTATCACTAAACCATTATTATCTAAAGACAAATATGTATAAAAACTACTGTGGGTACAAAGTGAGGGATAAGTTTATATACTGATTGCAATATAAAATTGATCCCCCACTTTATATCTACATTATAATTTCTTGTTTGTTTACTAAATTCTGATTAGTTATGAACCCACCTCTTCTGCTCCCAACTATGGGTTAATTAGTCAGACTTTTATCACTAAACCATTATTATCTAAAGACAAATATGTATAAAAAACTACTGTGGGTACAAAGTGAGGGATAAGTTTATATACTGATTGCAATATAAAATTGATCCCCACTTTTATATCTACATTATAATTTCTTGTTTGTTTACTAAATTCTGATTAGTTATGAACCCACCTCTTCTGCTCCCAACTATGGGTTAATTAGTCAGACTTTTATCACTAAACCATTATTATCTAAAAATAACGAAATTACTAATCGACAAAATATTTTCTGGCTTCAAATAATTTGCAAAGGTTTGATAAGCCTCAGAAAATAAATGAATGAATAAATGAAGCAGGCAAAACAGAGTTGCAGTGGCGATGAAAGAGTGTTCAAATCACGATAGAAACTTATTCTTTGTTCAAACTTAGTCACCTGATGTCTGCGGCAAATACTACAGAAAAATTAAGTAAATTCGAATAATAATAATAATAAAATAAGAAGAATGGTATTTATTACTTTAAATGTTTGTTTTTAATGTCTACTCTTTTTAATTCTTTTATAATAGGAATATTCTGCAAGTACTTTCAAATGAATGGAACAATAAACCAGGCAAAAATGAAAGAAAGAAAGAAAAAAAAAAGTAAAAAAGAAAAAAAATGGGTGTTTTTTGTTATTTTTTTAAATAACCAGAAATATAAAAAAAACATGTCTGACCCGGAGAGCAAAACTAAACGAAACGGGTTCAAACTCAAGCGAGGCCAATTTGCTTTAAATTCCTATCGTTCATTCGGGAAAGGTGTTTCTCCATTTTCTCACACAGCTGCTGACATTCATCGACTCTTGATAGGCTTTTACGGAAACCAAATAAGGAATGTAAGCACATGTAATACGTGACAGCAGAGACGTAAGTGTTATGTATGCCTAGTCATTATATGGGTAGTTTTTGTAGCTGTGGATCCTCAAAATGATGGGCGCATTTTTTCTATAAATCTAGCGTTTCATAAAAATAATATATATATATATATATATATATATATATATATATATATATATATATATATATATATGTATGGGGCATGAGAAAGTCTTTTCTTGTCAAAACGATCAGAGTGAGTTTTCCTTCGTTTGACTCATCCAGCTCTTTCCGAATCCTCTGCGCTCTCTTCAAACATGCAAACACTCTGAAATGTTCGTCTGTATTATCTGGCGTGATCGACAGTCGAAACAATGCCAGTAAGGTCGAACCCTCGGTCCCGATGAATTGGGACTCCGTGCTGTCGATGGCTTCCAAATGTATCCAATTTCACTCACCAGGCTTGGGTCAACCTATGGCATGATTTTCCAAAGGTGCCGCAATCATTCTCCTGACAAATCGACAATGATGAGATTTGAATCCGGGTCTCATGGTCGGAAAGCGAAAGTTTTAATCTGATGGCCATTTTATGGGAATATTATTTTATAACCATTGTTATTTCTATTTTTCTTGTTTTGACATTAATTCCTTTAAATGAGTTGCTTGATAATATCTGAGTAAGGCCAGGTTAATATCTAAGTGAAGTCTTGATAATATCTGAGTAAAGGCCAGTTTAATATCTGAGTGAAGTCTTGATAATATCTGCCAGGTTAATATCTGAGCGAAGTCTTGATAATATCTGAGTAAGTAAGAGCCAGTCTTTAATATCTGAGCGAAGTCTTGATCATATCTGAGTAAGGCCAGGTTAATATCTGAGCGAAGTCTTGATAATATCTGAGTAAGGCCAGGTTAATATCTGAGCGAAGTCTTGATAATATCTGAATGAAGTCTCGATATTAGCTGAAGTGAGGTCTTAATAATATCTGAATGAGGTTTTGTTAATATCTGAGTAAGGCCAGGTTAATATCTGAGCGAAGTCTTGATAATATCTGAGTAAGGCCAGGTTAATATCTGAGCGAAGTTTTGATAATATCTGAATGAAGTCTCGATATTAGCTGAAGTGAGGTCTTAAATCTGAATAGGTTTTGTTAATCTGAATGAGGTTTTGAGTGAAATATCTGAGTAAGGCCAGGTTAATATCTGAGTGAAGTCTTGATAATATCTGAGTAAGGCCAGTTTAATATCTGAGTGAAGTCTTGATAATATCTGAGTAAGGCCAGGTTAATATCTGAGCGAAGTCTTGATAATATCTGAGTAAGACCAGGTTAATATCTGAGCGAAGTCTTGATAATATCTGAGTAAGGCCAGGTTAATATCTGAGCGAAGTCTTGATCATATCTGAGTAAGGCCAGGTTAATATCTGAGCGAAGTCTTGATAATATCTGAATGAAGTCTCGATATTAGCTGAAGTGAGGTCTTAATAATATCTGAATGAGGTTTTGTTAATATCTGAGTAAGGTCAAGATAATATCTGAATGAGGTCTTGATAATATCTGAATTAAGTCTTGATAATATCTGAGTGAGTCCTTGATAATGTCTGAGTAAAATCAGGATTAATATCTGAATGAGGTCTTGATAATATATGAGTTAGGTCTTGATAATAACTGACTGAGTCCCTGATAATATCTGAGTAAAGTCAGGATAATATCTGAATGAGGTTTTGATAATATCTGAGTGAGGTCTTGATATTTGAAGATCAGTCTGAGGTCACCAAATTTTATAACTTATCTCCAGCGTACAACTCGAGACACACCTTAAAATACTTCTATTTGCCACGTCCCTTCATGACATAGACGACCACGGCTCTCCACAACTTCCTATCTCGTAAAGCTCTTAGCATTCTCCCTTTGTTAAGGCTCCTCTCCCCAACACTGATCCGTTATTTATTAACTAATCTCGTTAGGTAGTGACTCGCTGTCTTCCCCTATCTCTCATGCCCTCAATATGCCCCGTGAGGGAAAAATTTTCCAAGCCCTCCTTCCTCAATATGTGTCCAAGAAATTTCAGTAGTCTTTTCCTGATTCTAAATATAAGCGTTCTTTCTGTTGCCATTTTCTTTAAGACTTCCATGTTCCTTACTCACTCTGTCCGTTGAATTTTCAGTATCCTTCGAGAGAACCACATTTCTGCTCTCTCGTATTTTTTCCTCATCCGTGGGGAGATTGTCCGACATTTAGTGCCGTATAACAAGTAGAATATCACATTGCAATCCGGCAATTTCTTTTCTTTGTTTCTAACGTATTTTTTTCCAATTCTCATCAATTTGACTAATTTTTGGAATGCTTTTTTCGCTAGTCAAATGTGTATTCTGTTCTTGCTGTCGTATTTCCCATCCTCTGTTAAAACGCTTGCCAGATATTTAAACTTGCTTAACTGATATACAGTCAACGACCAAATTATTCCTACAGCCGTCACTTTTGAATATTTTTATCCATTTCTCAGAATCTAATGCCCGTATGAGGCCAGGTTTTTCATATGTGCTTGATCTGTTTCGGATTCACTCTCCGTACAAACGGATATGAATGAAAAAAATCCAACACACTCATCAAACTATTATGCAAAATGAATATTACTTTCAAAGGTAAAGACATCCTACTATGATTCCTAGAGTTGAAGGTAACAATAAAGCAG